AACACACACACAAAGTAGTTTTTGTTATTAAGAACTATAATGGTATTGTAGAATTAGCAATGGGAGCAAGCTCAAATAGGTGAAAAAATGCATAATAACACAGGAAATAAGCTTTAAAAATGAAAAATTAAGCATATTCTACTTTTTTGAAAACTTATGTTTCAAAAACTGGTTGCCATGGCAACATGGAYGACGATATCTACATAAAATGTACATCAAAATTTGCGTAGATAACTTTTTGGAAAAATTTGAAAGTTTCAGAGCTGTAGCTGTCTTGGTTCGAAAGTTATTAGCCCCCCCTCCCTCCCCCCTCAGTCTGAATAGGGTTAAACTTGATTTACATACCACTATTGAGCGCCCAATAACAGAATCGTTCCCGTGTAACGAGACCAAGTAGTCTATGAATGCTGTCTTGATTTCTCCTTTGGAATTGGACATGACGTTTCCAAGATCACCAATATGTCTGGTAGTGCAAATAAAGTCAGTAGTATGGTTTAAAGACCTTAATTAAAGGCCATGTCATCACACAGGATCGGAGTTTTATGACTATCTCACGCAAACTGCCCCTTACAAAAAACTATATATAAAAATACCGAAAGAAAGCGATCAATTTCATGTATAAAACAAACATTTGTCGAGCTTCCCTCTTTATTTTTTRACAAAGAATTGCACTTTAAATTGAAAAATTGCACGCTAAAATAGAATAATTGCACGCTAAAGAGAGGCGAGTAAAACTCTCGCACGACTTGTCAACAAAAAAAAGAGAAAGAAAACGTTGTCAATACTGTTGATCGTCACGTGGTACATACCGTTTTTGATCACGTGGTGCAGCATGCTGGGTACCGTCGGGACGGTAATGCGGACCGCAACTTTGACAACCTGAATTATAATATCATCACCATTGTTATACTAAATATTACCGKTTTTTTTGTTATGAACTGTTTTTATAGCCGAAGTCGTAGCTTGTAGTTGCGCAGTCGTTTATGAAATAGCGCAGTCTCGTACTTACTATCAAATTCTACTATAATGTGTTTTAGTATAACTTTTTCTGCCAAAATGTCAAACCAAATGGGTCCTTGCTAGAGGCATAATTCAAAATCGTAAAAGAGGAATTAAAGGGCTACTTGGACGAAAATTGCCAAACATTAGAAAAGACTCTTATAGAACTATCCACATGGGTCTAATAATCATGAAGCAACAGATTTCAAGAAGATATTGATACAAATCCTTAATAATTTGGGCAAAAAATGTTGGAGTAGATGGCGTCATTTACTCGATTTACTCCATCCTTTTGTTCTTCCATCTTTTGAATCAAAATTTCCCTGATGTGGGACAATTCCAAAACAAATATTTTCCCGCAATTGTTTTTAATAGATATATGTGAGTCATATATTTGTATTGCTTGAAGTTTTGAAATGAGGCCATTTTCATGCAAGTAGCACTTTAAATGAGCAGTCTTTACCCCTTGATATGATGTCACCAGAATTGTGAATGTGAAACCCATGCACACTGTTCGTCGTTAGGCCCTTTAAGTCTACCGTGATTTGTGTTGGACCTCCTATGGTCTGAAACCAATAATAAAAAGATCATTTATAATAAGCAGCATTTCTGCTAAAATGTATATGGGTACGAAGGATATAGTGTGCACGCCACATGAGTGTGAAGTAATTCTTAACTAATTACAGTAGCGCCTGATAGACTAAGATTTAGTTATCAACTAACTAAGAAGTCTTTGAGGCGGAAACAAAGATAATTTCCAGGGACCGCGGAGCGGGAATTTGTTTGGGGGGGGGGGGGGGGGGTTTGACGATATGCAAGACATATTTACTGCAAACACGCTCAGCGATATTATCAATAAAATCCCAAAGACTTCAATTTTAATCATTCACGCTCCGTTTTTGCACAATTATTATAGCATATATATGGTTAAATTCCATAAGGAGGATATTCGCTTCTTTATTTTTAAAAGAAAATTCAAAATGTCGGAAAAAATTATTGGCGGGATGGCTTACCTGATGGCTACCCGGCTTACCTGCTCCGCGGTCAATGATTTCCTTTCTGGCACTGTGTTCATGCACCATGCAGTGAATTCTTAGTTAGCTAGTTAATAACTGAATCTTATTAGCTGTTGATTATTAAGGATTGTTTCACKCTTTTGTGGTGTGCACTCTACAACTGGGCTCTAAGGAAGGGAGATTAATGCTACAGCACAAGATCTGTGCAATTGTTGTTACCTGCTGGACTAGGGTAACTTTTCCWGTCACTTTTGGTGATGATGAACCAGAGAGTTGTTTATTTTGTTCCATGTGACACACTGCAGTCACGTGACTATCTGAGAAATCAGGGAGTGTGGTTAAAATATGYTAGGAATAAAAGAAGTCGAAAAGATATTGTACTGCATAGCTATRGTATGACTTGGGTCTTTCTCAGCACTTCATCAAGCTTACCGCATCAATGGTGAATGGCTTGCGTTTTTTGAAACCATTTTGCGTAATCAAATGTTGTTGTTGTTGTTATTTTGTTTTGTTTTTGCTCAAGGAGTGACACATTGACAAAAAAAWTTACGTCATGARGCTACAGTACTTGTACAGTACTTGTCAGTACATGTCAAGACAAAAAATTTAGGCTTAATTTTCATGAAGTGCACATCAGGTCACAAGAAAGTAATGCCATTATCGAAACCACATCGAAATACCTCTCACTTCATATACTAAACAGTTAACAATTCGCCAATAAATGTCTTGAATAAGTGATATCACGTGTTAGCTTTAGTACATTGAGCAAACGTCGATTTACTGGTTGTGGTATATTGATAAATGTAAACACTTTATACCTACCTCCTCTGACCATCACAGCCAAAGACACCACGATTATCACGGCAGGGAATTCCATTGGTCAAAACTGAAAATGCTGTATTATAATATTTAGTGACGTACTTCAAGTAACTTGTGTTACAGTAGACAATATGGTAAGGGAATCAATAAGCAGTTAGTGCGAGTAATGATTATAAGGTCACTCYTTGTTCTGTTGTGGTATTATATCTTATAACGGCAGTAATATGATCGCTTTGGGTTATATAAAGAAAGGTAACGCATTATTATTATTATTGTCTATGCTGGAGGTAGCAAATTAATCTAGTTTCCGGCTACGACGTCGTATCAAAACATTCATTTAACCCGACGGATGGAGACAATGGCAAGAAAAGTGAATAAATGAATCGTAACAAAACAATATATAAATAGTGTCAGGTAATCATGGACATAAAATATAGAAAATCTGAGTTGTAACTTTCAACGGAAAGAAGCGCGATTTAGTACAAATTTTYCACCCAGTTTAACGATTTATATTATTTTGCGTGATTTTGTTGGTAAACGTACTGTGACGTCATATTGAAATAGTGTATTCGCTCCATACTTTTCGTACAAGATAACGTTACTTCTACATACTTTTAAAATATAAATTTAAATGAAAATTAAGGACGAAATTACGTTAGAAATGGTTTTTATTTTCAACAAACCTTTCCCCCTATCTTCTCGCCACACCCAGTATTTGACCGCAAACAGAAAAGTCAGCGGTAGCAACCAAACAACATATGCGTTAGCTCCTCGGCCAAAATAAAGAGTTATCGATCAACAGCAAGATTTTCTTGTACAAATTTATGGATTTCTAAGGCGATTTTCAACCTGATCCCGTGGCAAATGGAGCAGCTTATTCCAGTTATCAATAAGCTACAAGATGTTTTTAACACTGTAGGTTCAGAAACCATCCAACTGCCGCAAATTGTCGTTATTGGAACTCAGGTCGGTACGTTGGTCTTGTTTGAAAAACGTCTCGAGCTTTCTACATTTAGCTTTAAGTTTCTCTACAATCCAAGTCTTTCTGTGTTTATAGTTAGCATAATTTTCATTGGAAAACATTTAATTAAGCATTTGTAAATGGCTGAAGTTAATATTCGAGCTATTTTCACAATTGATTGTACAATAGTTTCTTTCCGGCATTTTTGTACAAGCGCCTCATCATCAGCAGATTTTGAATCATTCCATCACACAATGCATAGTTATTATTCATCTTTTTTCGCTAAAATCTAAAGTTGTGATTATTAACAATAGCTCTTTAAAAGAATAAAGTCAGTCTGTTGATCTAGGAAGTTATTYCATGACTAAATATAGATTTTCTTGTACAATTTAATGTAGAAAGGTAGAAACAATGATTTATCGTTAAGTTTATTAAAAATTCAAGACAATTTTTCTAAAAGCTGTGTTTACCTTTGACCATTACTTTATATATTATGGACTTGATGTATGATTATTCTTCTAGGAATAATTTCAATAATTGATAAATCCCATTTCCCAGGTTGCTATCCAGATATAAGACATGACTTTAAACTCACTTAAAATAAAAAAAAATAAACGAAAAATAAAATTTATCCATTTTTCACTATTCATGTTATAGAGTAGTGGCAAGAGTTCTGTGTTGGAGAACATCGTTGGAAGAGATTTTCTACCAAGAGGTTTGTATAAAGATGAACTKCTTTGTATTGAACTCTCAATGCTGTTAATTGTCAAATGCCAAGAAAATCATTCTTGTTGCTATCTTTGTGTTGACAGACATTTTTGAGTATTTTATTTGACAAGTAAACCACAGCAACCCAGTGTTTGCTCAAACAAGTATGAATTTTAAATTAGGTTCTGGAGTTGTAACAAGAAGGCCCTTAGTGCTCCAACTTGTTCATGTGCCATCAAGAAAGCCATCAAAGAAAACACCTATTAAYTCTAAAAGTCATAAAGAAAAGATGACTCCAGATGAAGAAAAAGCTGAAAATGGTCAGGAAAAATGTAAGTTTAATCATTTATATATATATATAATATAGTCACCTAATTGAAAAAACGTAGTCGTTTTCGAAAAGGTCACATTATAGAAGCTAAGACTGAATGGGATTTTGGGTACCACTAAATTGGGATTACATTTGTATATACAGTGTACACTAAGCAAGTAGAGCTAGTAAGATTAACAGCATGATAGTCTTTTATGCTGGAGAGCTGTTTGTTATGAAATTATCCAAATTGTTTGTCTTCCCAAGTACCCTTTCGGTCTTAGCTTCTATGATTTGACCTTTTTGGACCCGACAACGTTTCTTCAATTAGGTGTAAGGTCTAGTCTTTTCTTACTGTAAATCCAGCTGGCCTCTTCGAAGAGTTGCGATAAAATGGCAGGTTTTTCATATAATAAAAAATATTAGAATTTGTAATATTTCAAAATACTTGTCTTTTTATGGTGGATAATTTGTCAAGTTGACATTCTTGGCATCCAAGCAGCTAACAAATCCACTATTGTTCTTAGGGTAGTATTTTCTTGAGTATTACAAGTCATATCGTGTGTTGATCAGAAACACTAATTAATACAGCTCACACAAATATCATGATAAAAACTAGTCCTTCTTTAGCTGCCTCTTTTTGTAAAGTTGCTTAGTTGTAATGCAGAGAGGTTTTAGGTTGTATAGTTTAGTTCTAGTAATTGTCCAGTCATTGATTATTCTTGAAACACTGCAACATTTCCAAAAATTCTTGGAATATTCATGTAATGTTTGTGTCACTTTTGATATCTACATAGCTTTCATAAGCTATATCTGTCGTTGCTGGTGTGTAGTGTAAGACAGTGTAGTTCTAGTAATTTTGAAGTCCTGTCCAGTCATTGCTTATCCTTGAAACACTGCATCATTTCCAAAAATTCTCAGAATATACTATAATGTCTACTATAATGTCTATTAATCATTCCGGAGTTGCCAGGGGACTGGGCACTAATCAAAGAAATATTGATCTAATCACGAAACAAACCGGGCACCCCATGAAAGGACACCCAAAAATTAGTAAATATACCAAGTTTTGAAACGTTTCCCGGATAAAAACTAGCTGAACAGTATTTATTCCTAGTTTCATCAAATTAACAGAGAATGTATTGTTTTGGGGGACGCGGTCAAAATCCCCATACATTCTCTGTAAATTGCACGGCTTCTCATTAATTGAATATTTGTCCAAATTATCTGTAACTTGGAACCTACACTAAAGTCGATAAAGTCTTTTTAGTGATATGGTTAGTTTTTCGATTGGCTCAATATGACAGAAATTACAATTCATTTCATAACTCCAGAATGGCTATTACCACTTTTAATGTCTGCATCACTTTTAATATCTAGACATAGCTTTTATTACTATAACAATATCTGTCATGGTTGTTTTTTATATCATTATTATTCAGATTATAGTGGCGATGAAGCAGGAGAGGATGAAGTTGACGAAGAAGATGAYGAGGATGATAATGATGAACCAGAAGAGTGGGGAAAGTTCTTGCATTTGAAAGAAAAAGTTAGTTGTCAATCAGCAATTTTTATAGCTTTTAAATGAAGTGTATTAAGGGACATATTTTCTTTTCTTTGTTTTAGAAATTTATAGATTTTGATGATATACGAGATGAAATTGAGAGGGAAACTGAGCGAGTAACAGGAAGCAACAAGGTAGTTTCTGTCGTCTTTCTATATATTTTTTCTGTTGTCTTAAATAGCAACCTGTTTTATATTATTTTCTGCTTCCAGGGCATTTCTAATAAACCTATCAATTTGAAGATCTATTCCCCTAAAGTTGTAAACCTGACGTTGGTTGATTTACCAGGGGTTACTAAGGTTCGTACCACCATGACATACTAATAACAGTAGCAGATAATTATGAATGATATCTTATAATTATGAATGATTTCTTCAGGTACCAGTTGGCGATCAACCTCATGACATAGAGCAACAGATTAGGCTTCTTATTTTACAATATATCAGGAACCCTAACTCTATAATCCTTGCTGTCTCACCTGCAAACATTGACCTGGCAACATCAGAGGCTTTGAAAATTGCTAAAGAGGTTGACCCTGAAGGTAAATCTTGTGCTTTGATCTGAATTGCTAACAACAAACCAAGTCCCAGGGGCAGACGTGGGGGAATTTAAGGCTTAAAAGGGATCTGGAACACCCTTATGAAAATAACAGGTTTGAAACTTCTTCGCATTCTAACTCTGGATTCAGCTCTGCTTTGGGTGGAAATAATAAGTATTTTTACATGGGCTTCCAAAGGAAGACCATGTCTTAAATTACCGTCGTTCGTCTGTGGTATGCTTCAAATTATATCCGGGACCTTTTCATTTTTGACATCTATTGTCTTACTGTCATTTATGTTTCTAAGCAACGATTCAAAGGTCGCCTCGTGTGTATAGCCGGCAAAGTTTTAAGATCGAACATGTTGGAATCTAGGTCATCTAGCTTCTACAAATACGCTAGATTCTTTTACAAACCATTCGCGGCATAGCCACACTAAAAAAATTCGAGCGTTTCTCAAAAGGGCATTTAGAGAGATACGGCGAATTTATCGTGATGATCTATCTGCTGATCGTGAATTATATATCAAACATTAGCTTATCAAAAGCTAAATTATACTAGTACCGGCTCTACAATCACCAAGGACTTATCTAAGACATGTCAACAGATTTATACTGAGGAAAAACAGAGGATTGGAAGTATTTTAAAGCGAAGAACATGAAAGACTATCGATCTCAGTTTAATACAGCCAAGGATGCGACTCTTAAAGTAACGGCTCGTCAAACATAAATTTCCTTCTTTCACAATATTATTAAATTCTACTAAGTACATTGCTTGTTTGAATATTTTTCATTAAAGGAAATCTTTTTTTGGTGTTGTCTTAGGAATATTAATTYCATTAGGGTTCAATATCATTTACTGATTGTAATATACCACAGGAAGCCCATGTAAACGATCGCTGATCGTCTAGTTGGCAATAAAAGAAAGATAATATTTTTAAGATTAGTACTTCCTTGTTCTCCTAAAGCCCCCATAGTTCATAAAATAGACACAAGTTATGCAGTGAGCGGTCTAAGCCCATAAACAATTTATTCAAAAAACACAACCTAAAATTACAAACACTACCGCACAGAACTCACACACTCACACGTAAAACTAAGCAAAAGGGACTTAGACCACAATTAAATTAAATTAAATTGATTAAATGACTGAATTAGAGCGGATTTCGTATGAGTGTGAAACGGACGGTACTGTACTGTGACCGTAATTGTACTGTAACCAAATTCTAGTGCCCCATTGGTTCACCAAAATTGTGAAGGCCAGGTCCGGTAACTGTGTGGTAACCGTGCGATAACGGTGTCCCACTCATACGAAATCCGCTCTAGTTTCAACTTGACCTTATAAACAACACACTTAAAGTGCTACTTGCATGAAAATGGCCTTATTTCAAAACCTCAAGCACTACAAATATATGACTCACATATATCTATAAAAACAATTGCGGGAAAATATTTGTTTTGGAATTATCCCACATCAAATTTTGAGAAATTTTGTTTCAAAAGATGGAAGAACAAAAGGATGGAGTAAATGACGTCATCTACTCCAACATTTTTTGCCCAAATTATTAAAGATTTGTATCAATATCTTCTTAAAATCTGTTGCTTCATGATTATTAGACCCATATGGATAGGTCTATTTGATTTCTAAAGTCTTTTCTAATGTTTTGCAATTTTCGTCCAAGTAGCCCTTTAATTACCATACAATCACATGCACTAGTGTCCAGTCCTACGTCGCTAAGGAAATTATTTTTCTCTCCACTCACTCTCACTATAATCGTGACTGTTGCAAGACATTTTTACCAAACCTGGGATTATATAACTAACTGTGAGGAGCGATATATATCATTTATTTGATGATAACGATGAATATTTAATGATGTGTATTTTAGGTCATAGGACTCTAGCAGTTTGCACTAAGTTGGATTTAATGGATCATGGTACCGATGCTCTTGAGATACTATATGGAAGAGGTAGGCGTATATATTTTAAGTACAAAATTGTTGTGATCTGATGGAAGCCCGCCACTAAGAACAGCTGCGAGGAGACTATGCCTACATGTAATGGCAACGTTTTTGTATGAGATTATAAAATTTTCTATATATAACATCCACTTTAATTGGCTGACGACCGTGTTTATATCAGAGGACAGAGACACGGCTTACCGGCAAAATTTGCTTTTCGCTTGAAAAATTTTTTAAAAGAAATATAAAATGGTCGCTTGTGTCTCTGTCCTCTGATATAAACACGGTGGGAGTTGAAAAACACTCGAGAAGCAAGAGAAACACTCACTACGCTCGTGGTCCTAAGCTTGCTTCTCTCGTGTTTTTCGAACCCCCACCGTGTTTATATCAGAGGACAGAGACATGCGCATCGTTTTATGTTTCTTAAGCAAAAAACATGGTTTGCAGCTACTTGAGTGTTTGACAAAGACAGGCACTTTGTATATAAAAGAAAATGTAGAATGGCTGCACTCAAATGAGGCCAGTTCCAACCTGTCAGTGACCAAACAAACTCTAAATGTAAACGGTATCTGGTGATCTCGCCCCCAACTGATCTTGCCCCATGTAAACCTCTCTAATGGTTATCTCTGATGAGCATTACTTTTGGTTTTCACAGTTATTCCTGTCAARCTTGGAATAATAGGTGTCGTCAACCGTAGTCAATTAGACATCAATAATAAAAAGGTAGATATATGCAGAATGTTTTATTCGAATGTACATTTGTTTCTAAGCTTAGAAACTCTCTTAATAATAAAATAAGTATTTTGGTATTTTGTATATTAGTACTTTACACCTTTTGTTTTATATACTTTAGTCAATACAAAAAGCCTTAAAAGATGAAGGTTCCTTCTTTGCCAAACATTATCCAACACTAGCTTCAAGAAATGGTACACCTTACTTAGCTAGGACACTGAATAAGGTATGATGTTCATTGATTCATTGTATAAATCAGGATTACTTGTATTAACTCTTGTGGCATGAACCCTTTATTATCATCCTATTTACCTATTGTAAAGATACTCGATTTAATAGTTTTTTTTTTTCAGTTTAAGAAAAGAATGGGCAATACTCCATCTTAGAGTTCCAAGCGCCATCTTGAAAGGTAGCCAAGGCTTTGCATCAAGGGAGATGRAAGTTTGCGATGATAGAAACCTGTGAATACTTGCCTTAGGTGTGAACAAAGGGTATCTATCACTGGAGGCTCAACTCCTGTCTCGCTATGGTTACCTTTCAAAGTGGTGCTTGAAACTGTAAAGTGGAGAATTATTTAAGAAATATAAAACGACGCGCGTGTCTCTGTCCTCTGATATAAACACGGTGGGAATTCGAAAAACACGAGAGAAGCAAGATTAGGAACACGAGCGTAGCGAGTATTTCTCTAGCTACTCGAGTGTTTTTCAACTCCCACCATGTTTATATCAGAGGACAGAGACACAAGCGGCCGTTTTATATTTCTTTTATAAACTTTTTCGAGCGAAAAGCAAATTTTGCCGGTAAGCCGTGTCTCTGTCCTCTGATATAAACACGGTCGTCAGCCAATCAGAGCGCGCGATATTTATCAAAAATTTTATAAACATTTATAACGTTTTATTTTGTAATTTACAGCTACTGATGCACCATATACGAAATTGTCTGCCAGAGTTAAAGTCTCGTGTGAATAGCATGATTTCCCAGTACAATCATTTATTACAAAGCTATGGGGAACCAGTCAAGGACAAGGTTAGTAARCTGTTTTWATGAATATTGTGSAGCTGAATCTAAAGGGTGCATTGAAGTCCATTATTAGACAACTGTTTCTCCTTTTTATTATTTCTTTTGACATGATTTATGATCACGCCTTTTGTTCTTTTCGAATCATTTGCTCTAAAATTTGAAACTTTGTACAACTACATGTACATATTAAGAGAAGATAAGAAATTGAAAACACCTTTATTAATAGAAACTTTTTCAGGCAATGATGCATGTTGTGGTTAATGCTTGTGGCGCATTATTTCTAATGCATTGTGGACATCTTTCTATATTTAAAATTCCATGACCATATGGTTTGAATAATATATTAGAGAATAATTTCTGATACTTCGCTTGTTTTTGCAATTTCATGAACACACATTTTTCCCTAACCAAAAAATCTAAAATGTGTCAATGTCAAACCTCTCCTTGCAGGGTACATGTCTTTTACAACTAATCACAAGATTTGCGGCATCGTATTGTTCAATAATTGAAGGAACAGCCCGCGACATTGAGACCTCTGAACTGTGAGTATTATTATTATTATGATATTATATTAAAATGTATTCATATTTCTTAAGAGAGAAAAGGAGTTTACTCTGGCCGGACGCTTTCATTGTTTTGTTGTTGTTGTTGTTGTTGTTGTTGTTGTTGTTGTTTTGTTTGTTTGTTTGTTTGTTTGTTTGTTTGTTGTTTTTTTGATGTACAGGGCCAGGTTGTTCAAAGCCCGATTAGAGTTAATCCAGGGTTAACTCCATAGGTTTTCTAATAGTTAACCCAGGATTAGCGCTAGTCAGGCTTTGAACAACTCGGCCCTGTGCTCAATTTCAAAGAAAGCGTTTCTGAACGGTTTTTTCCATGAAATTGAAGACCAAGCTGTGCAAGTTTTATAAAGTAATAACTAAATAACTATTTCTTACTTTTTTTGTAGATGTGGTGGTGCTAGAATATGTTACATTTTTCATGATATCTTTGGACGAACATTGACCAACACCGATGCTATGGAAGGACTATCAACGAGAGACATACTCACAGCTATTAGAAATGCTACGGTTAGTTAATCTACCAAAATAAGTTCTTTATCCCAGAAGGTTCATAAAATCTTTAGCAGTCTATGAAATAAGGGATTTTATGTGTAAGAATCATGTACGATAAAAAAAAAAACGGTTGGTACTTACAGAACTTACATTTGATGCAAGAATGTTGTCTTTTAAAGAATCTGTCTTCATTCAGTGCGTGTAAGAATAATGTACGATAAAAGAAACGTTGGTACTTACAGAACTTAAATTTGAAGCAAGAATGTTGTCTTTTAAAGACTCTGTCTTCGTTGAATGTACAGACTTGCGTGTAAGAATCATGTACAAAATAAGAAACGTTGGTACTTACAGAACTGATATTTGATGCAAGAATGACTCTGCCTTCGTTGACTGTACAGCAAACAAACAAATAAAAAAAATCCGAAAAAAATGTAATTCTTTTCCCATTCTTTTTCGTATTCGCGCATGCGATATTTTTTGAAATGCCCGCGCATTCTGGAAATCGTCTATCATCGAATATATAATTCAACAGAGTTTGTCGTGTTTAGGGTCCGAGACCAGCCTTGTTTGTACCTGAAATATCCTTTGAGTTACTGGTCAAACGGCAAATTAGACGACTTGAAGAACCAAGTTTACGCTGTGTGGAACTCGTTCACGAAGAAATGCAAAGGATTATACAACACTCTTTTCAACAGGTTTGGATATTGTACATTTTGATTTAAATGGTGACAAATGATCCTATTTAGTTTCTGCAATGACGTCATGGTTGTTTTGGCGAAGAGTAACAAGATGGCGGATTTCCTATAAAAAMCCTCACTCGCAAAGGAGGCACAGGAAGCCCGAGAAAACGGTTGYGAAGGAGACTAATAAAACTTTTAAAGAACACAAAACTAGCGTTATATATATTTCAGAGAATGCATTTGAAAAGGTCTAATAGACGAAACATGTTTCATTCAAAGTCTTGGTGTAGTGTGTCGAAAGAGGTGATTTTAAAAACGAAAACAGTTTAACATATAGCATGAAATTTACAAACTCTTTAGTGATCAGATTTAAAAAGATTTCTAGAGCATTTGAAGCTGTTTGACGTTTCATTAGCGAGAGGGGTTTGTCGTACGACTTCCATATATGGTTGTGCATGWACGGCGCTGATGTGCTCGTAGAAGCCGCTGACCGATGTGCTCGTAGAAGCCTCTGATGTCCCAATTATGTGGAGAAGAACTTTCAAAGACCTAAACTTAAACCGAAAATAAATTTTTRAAGAAAGAGTACTAAGATTCGAACCAGCGCTATGCATTGCCTAACCCGATATTTTCCCTAAACCTAACCATTAAGCTACTAGATCAATTCACACGAGTGAACCTGATTTTTTGTGATATTTATTAAAAGGCATGCATGAATAACCATGCTTTTGTACATAAGATTGAATATATAATTAATGAACCATCTATAGGGACATGAGAGCCTTCTATAGGTACATCAGAGCCATGTATATGGACATTCATATATGGAAGTCGTACGACAACCTCTATACTATCATTAGCAACCCTTGCCTTCCACGTCCTGAACTCACTAGTTTCTGAACCTTTTAATAGATTTATCGTTGTTTTGCAGGTCATGGAAATTAAGAGATTCCCCAAGCTACATGACAGAATTGTAGAAGTTATTATCGAGTTGCTACAAAGAAGACTTGATCCTTGCAATGACATGGTAGTGACTTTGTATTAGAATCTATTAATGGAACTTGACAATTCGTAAATAATCCCTAACACTATTGTACAGGTCCAAAAAAGGCTTATAATAACGTTTTTATGGTAAAAAACGGACATTTATATTTACCTGGCAAAAATTCTTAGATATAGTATTCCTTGCCTGGAGAGTTTTTTTTTTCCTGAATTTTACGCTGGCAACCAGTTGTGACTTCCAGCTGGCTGGGACATAAGAACAGATATATTAAGATTTATACAACTTTTCAGTAAAATCAGACGTTTTGATTGGTTGGCTTTCGTGTGTTATCAAAGTATAGATACACCGATTACGTCAAAACTAATTGTTTGTTGTATAAAACAGATAGATCTCATTTTTCCCTGCGTGTGTACTCTAATAGATACACAGATGACGTCAAAATGTAGTGAGAACAACAGTCACGCACTYGACTGCGTCTTGTGCGTACTTTTTTGTTCTCACTACATTTTGACGTCATCTGTGTATCTATTAGAGTACACACACGGAAAAATGAGATCTATTTGTTAAATAACAGATATATATCGTTAATGTTCATTTAACAAATCGAAATCTCTTTTCTATGGTCTGTACGCTTATCGACAATGAAAATGATCAAAACTCAAGTGGAACCACGAGCGTAGCGATTTCGATTTGTTTTTTTTTTTTTTTTACCATAACAAAGCCGAAAACAAAGTAAAACTTTCAAAACAAAATCGTTTCTGGCGCGCGCCGGTTCCGTGCGCGATCGATTCGTCATTTCATCCGTCTGTCCTAGGATTGACAATGGCTCTCGACCAATCAGCGCGCGAGAATTCTACAAGTTATGGTAAAATTTTACTGTTATACTGTTTTACTGTCATACAGTTAATCATGATGGGGAAAAGAGAATCAAACTCTCTGCTAGCAGAGAGTTTCTACAGTRTATTCCWCTRTATTGATATTTCATTGTATTTCCTTTTGTGAAGGTGGAACATTTGGTATCTATTGAGCTGGCCTACATCAACACYAACCATCCAGACTTCACKGACGGAGCTGCTTTAGTTTCATCTGTTGTACACAATCAAGAAATGGTATGTTTATTTTTTTTCCAACATTGGACATTTAAATGAATTAAGGATTTCTATTATAGCCGGTCTTCTTCACGAATCTCTGCGCCATCTTGAAMGGTGGCCGTGTCTTTCAATCAAAGCGAGACGCCTTTGAGGGTGCAATGATATATACCTATCAATAATTGTCTGTATGTGTAAAACACTGAGGTTTCTATCATTGCACGCGCAGGGGACATCTCTCTCTTCGACGTAAAAGTATGGCTGGATGGCGCAGGGAAGAGTGTCAAAGGAGACTGTTAAACGAAAAATAAAATAAAATAAAGCGTCTTATATACCTCATAGGACCGTAGGCGAAGACTCAAAGCAGCTCAAGCCAGCTTAACTAATGGACCATTAGAGGTAAGATAGCTTGTARTTATATAGTTCATTAARATACTGAGGAGCGAGGAGCATCATGGGAARACCAAACTTCCCATCAKCACATTCGAGCGTAGMAAAAAAGTTCGAGTGARAACTGGTTTCGAATCTGGKAGTAATATTCATSMCRCTTTYTTTATGAGCTTTGCCTTTTCATTGACGTTTTATTTTGTAATAAATTAACATTTCCTGCCTAATATATCTAGATTCTGATAGATGAGTTTGACGACGCTACTAGGGCGGTGCTCCGTACACGCTGGTCGCACCACGCCCTAAGAAAACCACTATTTGCTTCTGTCGATGAACTGACAAAAAATATTTAGGGCGCGCATGTTGTTCTATTTGTGCACAGCCAAATATAGACACCGCGAAAATGTTGGCGCGGAAGCGTCGACGCYACAACACTCGCAGTATTCAATTAGTTTCGTACATCATTCTTTCACGTAATGGATCTAGAAGAACTATGCTTTTTTGTCAAAAATAAGCAAATCGGCAAGCAAGTTAATAGATCGTGATATTTATACGTCAAATCATTACCTAGATAAACTAGTGCGAGMACCGCCGATGTTTTTAAGAAAACAGCTGGGTTGGAATTAAAGACGATATAAGATATAAGATATAAAACGTCAAAACATAAAGTAAGAACGGTTTAAGCGTTCGTCAAACGACAAACAGCTAGCATTGCGTTTACAAAGAAAATGTAACTGAATTACTGAAATGTGAAATAAATAATCTTTATCATGTGACCCGTATTTCGGCCCTACGGGCGCTCTCACTGAAACCTTTGGAAAATGGCCACTTGATGGGGTCCGTACGCCCTTTCGCGTCAGGTCCGTACAAGCCCGTATTTTCCCGGCTTGAAGTTCCGCACGCTTTTATTTATTTTTTTACTTTAAAAAACGCTGTCATATGATAAAATGCTTTTTGACTGAGTTAGATCGGTCCGTACGGCATAACCTCGAGCCAAATATTTTCCTGTACGGCCCTCCCACTCAGTCAATAAGTACATATTTTATTGAAGATATCAAAGTCACAAGCAGTTATTTACAACAGAGCTAATCCTCTGCTAAATTAATTAAGATAAAATAAAAATGTTAATAATATATATCGATGAATGTGAAAATATATCTGAGTACTTATTACGATAATTAGAACTCTAGATTACAAAGGGAAAAAATTAAAGCGATTAATTGGAATATGAGCTCATTTTTTCTCTGTTATTTTTTTTTAACTTCTCGACTTCTCTAAGATACCAATTCCTAAACTAACATTTTATATGATAAATTTTGTCTTTATCACAGATATTTGTATAAATACCCACAAATAGATGATACCTATTTACATAGTTACAGTGATAAATAATTCGAGCTTGAGGCTTTTGGACGAGTTTGGTCACCTATTAGGCGGGAATAAGAAAACATCTAGTAGCATTGAATGGATAACTGTAAAAGTCTCCCTCATTTAACATTGTTGTCATGTATTCATTCAAGTTTGAGCGCTCTAAGAACACTTAA